ACGCAATTTAACAGATATGTTCCTAATAGGGCGCCGTTTGTTACTTAATTTATGTTCAGTTGCTATGCAACAACATAGATTAATAGAAAAAAACAATCGTTATCGGTGGCTATCTTGTGCGCGAGCCTTCATAAAATTGATAGCAAAAAAAATATTCGGGCAGTTGGTAAGTACTTTAAATTCGACAACGCCAAAAAGTGAACGTTTCATAGTGCATATCGTATTCACCCACAATAAGCTATGAACTTGGCAATATGTAATATACGATAAGAGCACATGTTAAAGTGTCTCTTTATTTCTGCTCAGCTCCTTGTATTAGTACATCATAATTTATAATCAAGGCTCATTTACAGAGTCACTACCATACAACGATGCACTTTACAACAGAAGACGAAAGAAACATCTAGCTGATATCTCTGAGAATTGTCAGAAACTAAAAGGAATACTCACACTCAAACAATAACTTTCGAAACTTGGCATGATTCAGACTGCTCAATATGACTTGATTTTTTTCAGAGAAACTTCAATTACAAATAAAGGAGCAAAGTGAAATCGCGGAGTCAGCAGTCATGCTAGAGGCGATTTACTAAACACTACCCCATGTGTATGTGTAATCCACTAATCACTACTTCTACCAATACGTAAGTATGTTTTATGACACTAACAGGATGATTTTAGTGGATATATCCTCAAACCCTACCATATTTGTTACGGGTAGTGATTAATGAAATTAGATTTGATTTGGGGAAGTAAATAGGGAATTTTGAGGGGTGGGTTAAATAAGCTTGTGATAGAGTTCATATATAAGTTATTCACATGCGAACTAGTTTCCTTCTTTATTCTATAATGCTCGGCAACAGGTACGCACTCATGAGAGCGGTCACTTTGTGATTTTCCAGGTTTTGTGGAATTCTGACGATGTGCAAGTCTTGGCAGTGTGGTACTTCGCAGAACAGATTTTGTATATTCGTGGTTTTCCTTTGCGCATGTATTCACGTCGATTCCTGGTACGTCGACCTTTTTTACGTCCTCAATGACCATGATTGTTTTGGAGGATATACCTGACATAATCTGCTCTCGACATCGAGTCCATTTGGAATTTGAAGAGTCTCCGAATCCTGCTTCACGTATGTCTTGACATGCAATTCAGAGCTATACCTTGAATCTTTAAAAATCATAGTGGAAATATAGTGGAATTTGGTTAGCAGTGAGCTAGCATTGAGTTATTGAATATCGACGTTTAAATTTATATCCATTGGATCGGGTACTAAATATTT